GTCACCCCCGTGAAGGACCAGGCTGTCTGTGGGTCGTGCTGGAGCTTCGCCACCACCGGGGCCATGGAAGGTGCCCTGTTCCTCAAGGTGGGAGCGGGGCTGTGCCCCACAGGGGTGGACAGGGTGCCTGCAGGGTGCCTGTCCCCATTCCTGCAGCGTGTCCCCCCCACAGACCGGCGTGCTGACCCCCCTGTCCCAACAAGTCCTCATCGACTGCTCCTGGGGCTTCGGGAACTACGCCTGTGACGGGGGGGAGGAGTGGAGAGCCTATGAGTGGATCAAGAAACACGGTGGCATCGCCAGCACCGAGTCCTACGGCACCTACAAGGGACAGGTAGGGGTGGCTCTGTGTCCTTGACAGAGTCCCCAATGTCTTGGAGCTTAAAGCCACGGTGGGACCCACCTCGATGGGTCAAAGGCACTAGCAGGCTCTGGAGGTGTGGATGTCACCTCATCCCCAAGGCAGCAGGCTCCTGTGGTTCAAAGCACAGTCTGAAGCCAAGCCCCAGGGCTCAGCTGGGCAGTTTCATCACTGTGTGCCTCAGTTTCTCTTCTTGCAAAACAGGGACAAGGCTCCTCCACCCATGGGTGGTGCTGTGGGTCACTCCGTACCCTGGGGAGCAGGGATGGAGCAAAGCTGCCTGGGGACAGGGATGTGGCTGAATGACACAGGCAACAGCCCCCCCGGGGCTTGGGGTGCAGAGCCAGCTCCCTGTGCAACTGGGAAAACATCCCCACCACCCTGGGCTTGGGAGCACAGCGGGAACGCTGTCACAGCCCAAACCCCGGGTCGCTGGGAAGAGCTCCACGGGGAGCAGGCAGGGTGGGCATGGGGAGGGGGAGCAGGGCGTGCTGCTGACAGCCTGCGTGTCCCCTGGGTGTGTAGAACGGTCTGTGCCACTACAACCAGTCGGAGATGCTGGCCAAGATCACGGGCTACGTCAACGTCACCTCGGGCAACATCACGGCCGTCAAAGCCGCCATCTACAAGCACGGCCCCGTGGCCGTGAGCATCGACGCCTCCCACAAGAGCTTCTCCTTCTACTCCAACGGCATCTACTACGAGCCCAAGTGCGGTGAGTCGGGTGGCACGCGGGGCACGGCGGGACCTGGGTGCCCAGGGAATTGCCAGGACAGCCAGTTCCCAGCCTGGCAGTCCGGGGAAGGGTGGAGGGGACCGGCCCTGCGGCGCTCTGCGGCACTGTGGGCAGCCCTGGGAGCAGGGGTGCTCTCCAGGTTGGGATGTTCGCTGGACAGGGATCCTCTCCAGGCAGGGAGGTCGCCAGGTAGGAATGGTCTCTGCACAGGGATGCTCTTAGGTCAGGGGTGCTCTCAGGATGCTCTCAGGTCAGGATCTCTCTCTATGGGTAAGGATACTGTCCATACAGGGCTGCTCTCCAGACAGGGATCCTCTCCACACAGGGATGGTCTTCAGACAGGAATGCTCACTAGACAGGGACGGTCACCAGACAGTAATGGTCTCTGGACAGGGATGCTCTTACGTCTGCAGTGCTCTCTGAATAGGGATGTTCTCTGGATACAGGTGGTCTCCAAACAGGGATGCTCACTGGATAAGGATGCTCTCTGACAAGGATAATCACTGTACAGGGATGTTCTCCAGACAGGGATGCTCTTAGGTCAGGGATGCTCTCTAGATAGGGATGATAACTGGGCAGGGATGCTCTTAGGTCAAGGATGCTCTCCAGACAGGGATGCTCTCTGAACAGGAATGCTCTCCAAATGAACCCTCTCCCACGTCATTCCCTGCAGACAACACACCAGGATCTCTGGACCATGCAGTGCTGGCCGTGGGCTACGGGGTCCTGCAGGGAGAGACCTACTGGCTCATCAAGAACTCCTGGTCCACCTACTGGGGCAACGACGGCTACATCCTCATGGCCATGAAGGACAACAACTGCGGCGTGGCCACTGAGGCCACCTACCCCATCCTGGCCTGAGCCACCCCGGCCCTGCAGGGACACTCTGGGCACCCAGCCCTGGATCAGCCCCTTTGGTGGAGCCCCCAGGCAGCAGGAAGCAGGACAGGGCCAGGGGGTGCTGGACACGGGGTAGGATGGGGACCCAGCAGTGGCCTTGCCAATAAAGACACTGGAAAAATACCGGATGGCTCCTACAGCAGGGATTCAACTGCTGCCCACCCAGCTGTGCCCCCTGTGCAGACCCCCCGTGACACATCCTGCCCCCAGGCTGGTTTTTCTTGGTCCTGTGGGACCCCAGGGGCCTCCCAAGGAGGGGACCTGCCTGGCAGAGCCAGCTGGCTCTCACAGCCCGTCCCAGACACCCGGGGCGAGGGGAGCAGCTTTTCCAGCCCTGTCTCTGAGGTGGAGCACAAACAACCCCAGGGATTTCTGCTGAGATGAGAAATTCCTGGCGTGGGGTGTCGGGGAGGGGGGAAGGCATCCACCCTTTGCCCCACTGCCCTGTTGTGGCTGTGGGTGGGGACGTCACCGGGGTGTTTGCCAGGGTCACCCTTCACCCCCTGGGGCTGCTCCCCCTTTACCCCGTGGCCATGGCTCGGCTGGGAGATCCTAGTTTGGGATCAAGCCATCCTGGAGAATGGGATCAGTGCATGAGGATACTAAAACAGGGTGGGAAGTTCTCCCTGCCCTCAGCCTGGTGGTCTCCCATCTTTGCTGGCGCATCCTCAGGGCAGGATGCACATCTGCAGTGGTGGGCTGTGATGGTTTTTCAGGCTTTTCATAGATTTCAGTTTTTTCACAGCTTTTTCAGGCCAGATCATTAAATTTCCTAGGCTTTTCTCCAGTATAACCTGAGTATCTCCTGAATATTCCTGAATATCCTGAATATTCTCCAGTATAACCTGAATATCCCTCCCAGAGAAAAACTAGATAATTAAAAAACAAAACAAAAAACATTGGGGGGTGGGGGGGAAAGCAAAACAATAACTTGCACTTGGATAACATTTTGGAAGACCTGCTTGAGTCAGGCTTGGTATCACGACTTCAAAAGCTGTTCATCACTGTCCAGGAATGATTGGGATGCATCATCCCAGCCAGTCATTCGGAGGGGCAGCGCTCAGGCACTTCATCTCTTGGTTTGCCTTCAGCACTTAAACCTCCCCGGGTCCCTGGGGAGGTGCTGCAGCCCGGGGGGCACCAGCCCAGCCCTGCACCCCGGGGTGCAGCCCAGTCCAGCCCAACAAGACCCCGCAAAGCCCTTATCAGCTTTGTTTGGGGCTCGTTGTCACCTTGGGCCGGGGGCCAGCTGGACACGCGGCAAGTGGGAGGGGTGAAGGCCACTCTGCACCCGCTCCTCCCCGGGGCTGTTTTGCCATGTCGCTCCCGACATTTAATCTGCATTTTTCCCCCCTTTTTCCAATGAAACCCCCTCTAATCGCAGTCCTGGCCTTGCCCTGATGGCGTATCCGTAAGGATGCAGGGGTGCAAACAGCCCCCACCTCCCCATCTTTCTGTCTCCCCTTTGGTGGGGTCGCCTTGGCTCCTGTCCCACCCCAGGGGGGCTCTGGGGTGCCTGGGTGGGTGCTCCAGCGGATCCTGGCTGGCAAACTGCCACACCGGGGATGGGTAGGGGCACAGGGATACCCCCAGCACCCATCCCCAAACCCCCAACCCATGGGGCACCCACAGGGGCCGGGGTCCCACCCTGACCCCCCCTCCCCAAGCCCCACCAGCACAGAGCATCAGCACCCACCCTGGTGTGGGTGGGAAGGGATGGGGGAGTGCCCGTGGTGGGACAGGGGGGCAAGACAAAGCCCCGCCTTCCCCCTGGTCTCATCCCAGCCCGGGGAAGGGGGGGCTGTGCCCGTTGGCTGCCCGCAGCTCCCTGCCCACCCACCAGTGGTATTTAATCACCC